ACTGACCCCCCAGACCCCAACTCGTTTGGGAATATACCTGGGAATATATTGGGTATGTTGTTGTTGTTGTTGTTGAAGTTCTTATTTCTTTATTTTTGTGTGGTTGTTGCCTTGGCTTTATATTCATAATTTGTGTATTATCTTCATGTGTTTGTGCCCTTACTTTCATTTTCTTCAATTTATTGATTCTGATAATAGAATCTGTGCTGTATTCGTGTTTTCATGAAATTCTGCAATTACTTTGATTCCCACATTCTTTACCTTTTGCCTCTTTGAAGATTTATTTTGTTCCTTCTTGTTTCAATAACCAAAAAAAAAAAGATTTATCTTTTCCCAAAATAAAAAAATAAAATAGGAAAAGTTAAAAACAATGGTTGCGTTCTGATGGCTGAATTTGTTTAAAGGTTGTCCCTATCAAGTGGGGTAGAGTTTACCGGTTGAAGATAGCAATGATGGGCAGATATCCCTCTCTATATATTAATTCAAAACGTGTTGAGCTTATGTGGCAGATTCTCACACTTCAAATTTATGCTTCGTGATGTTGTTTTTATATTATTTTTGTTCTGAAGTTAGGTTTGGTATTAGACATAAATAAATTTACACATATATTCATTAACTCAACACTCATGTTGTACATGAGTATTAGTACTAGTGTTGTATTCATATGAAATGTCAGCAAATGGGCCTGAATTGAAATGTAGTTTTCAGACTCACAATGTTGAGAGGTGGGGATTAAAGTGGTGGTATACATACATACTCCCTTTTGAAAGAATATATTTTAGTCGTCTGGCCTTAATCTATGTTAAAAAATGTCCCCAAAAGTGTATCAACAGTAATAACTTTTTTTTTTTCCTTTGATATCTGCCCCTCCTCCCAGAGGAAAAAGATGGTGCTTTTTTTTGTGGTCAGCAGCTGAACTGTTTCACACATGACACTACACATTTTCACATACTTCTCACCCCTTTTCATGATTATCTTTCACCAATTTGACCATTTTTTTGAGAGATTCAAAGCAATACAACACCCCGGGGCACTCGAGGCCCAACGCTTGAGCAGGATATCGATAGGATTACGGAGGCCCGGTGGGGAGTATATTGTAGTGGGGGGCAACGAGCGCCTAACCTTAATGTTTAGGTCGTGATCTCTAGAATAGAGACTTCATGGAACTAAAGCAAAGTGCTGTAAAGTTGACCAAAATCTTGTAGTGACTAATAATAGTTTCTACTTCTTTTAATGCATGTATGCTTCAAACAATTTCCTGCAGTTTTTTAATGCCTCAAAAAGCTTCCCGGTGAATACTGGGAGCCTGCTTATGGGCCTTGACATGTTTAAAGTTTGATGAACTATATGGTTTTTGATTTTTTTAAAGTACTGCTTATTGACTTTATTGATTGTCTAACCAATCTTCTTTCGACATTTTCATGTTTAGTTCTTGTATTTTGCACTATTATGTGGTAAATAGTTTGTTTATGGAGATGTGGGGTCAAGTCTTTGATAGTGCAGAGTCCACTGTTATATGATGGCAAACAATATGATGCAACTACAGTAGAATATTTTTAATTTGAGATCTGATTTTTCTAGATGAAGTTCTGACTTTTCTCATATTTGTTTGAATTTGTATTTGTGGCCATGAAGTTGATAATGTAAAAGCCATGAGTCAAAGTTCCCAACTATGTTTATCATACTAGTAATTGACAGATTGGTCCTTGCCAAATTCCTTGCTTGTCACCTAATTTTGTTTCTTTCTTTTAATCCTTTTGTTTGGTGATAATTAATATGTACTAATTTGCTAACTGGGTCAAGACTCTCCCACTCATTCTAGTTAGGACAAAAATTGAAAATGCTCATAAGTCTTAACCAGCTGCATGTATCCTCACATCCCTTCGCCTTTGTTCCATTTTTGTTTTGTTTTTTGCAGGACACGAACATTTGCGCGATATGCTTGTCGAGCATGAGGCCAGGCCATGGACACGCCATCTTCACCGCTGAATGCTCGCACTCATTCCATTTCCACTGCATCTCCTCCAACGTGAAGCACGGGAAACGGAGCTGCCCTGTCTGCCGAGCCAAGTGGAAGGAGGTCCCAGCCCAGGACCCCTCCCACAGAATTGGCAGCCTCTCTTTGTCTCTCCCTAATCGGATCCCCTCCCCACGTGCTGATTCCATGCGCCGCGCCTCGTCTCTTCTCCACGCGCCTGAGCCGCCTCTCTTCAACGACGACGATGACATCACTACTGATGCCAGCTCACCGGTAAAGAATATCCCCGATCACGATAATTTCAACGGATTAGTCGAGATCAGGACGAACCTGGAAGTTTCCGCGCTCCCAAAAAACGCTTCCCAGAATGACTTCTCGATTCTCGTAAATCTAAAAGCCCCGACCACGCCTAAATTACCACAAGATGTTGGACAAATGTTACCGACCTGCCGAGCCCCGGTCGACCTCGTCACTGTTCTGGACGTGAGTGGGAGCATGGCTGGGACGAAGCTCGCCCTGCTCAAACGGGCCATGGGCTTCGTGATCCAAAACCTGGGCCCCTCCGACAGGCTGTCGGTGATCTCCTTTTCGTCCACAGCCCGCCGCCTTTTTCCCCTCCGCAGGATGACCGAGAACGGGCGGCAAGAGGCCCTTCAGGCAGTGAATTCCCTCACCTCAAACGGTGGCACAAACATTGCCGAGGGTTTGAGGAAGGCAACCAAGGTTCTGACCGAATGCAAGTCCAGAAACCCTATTGGGAGCATCATACTGTTGTCGGATGGGCAGGATACGTATACGAACCGGGCTCCTCCTACTGCTATTGCACCCCGTTCAGACTATCAGTCTATCATTAACGGGGCTTCTACTTCTCGTGTCCCTATACATGTGTTTGGGTTCGGCAGTGATCACGATGCAGACTCCATGCATCTGATTTCAGAAAATTCGGGTGGAACTTTTTCTTTCATCGAGGCCGAAAGCGTAATTCAAGATGCCTTTGCGCAGTGCATTGGTGGGCTTCTGAGTGTGGTGGTGCAGGAGCTTACGGTGGAAGTTGAGTGCGTGGACCCCACGGTGAGGCTCGTGTCGGTAAAATCCGGAAGCTACAAAACTTCGTTAGCTCTGGATAAAAGAAGAGCCACGATTGAGGTCGGGGATTTATATGCCGAGGAGGAACGGGATTTTCTAGTCACGGCCGATATCCCAATTTACGAATCGGGAGGAGAAGAGATGTCTCTGGTGAAAGTGAAATGTAACTACCAGCATCTTGTTGGTAGTAATTCGATTCATCTCGATTCTGTGAGTGAAGTCAGAATCCGGCGCCCGGTGGTGGCCGGGCCCATGCAGGTGTCGATGGAGGTTGACAGGCAGCGGAACAGGGTCCGTTCGGCTGAGGCTATGTCCGAAGCTAGGGTGGCCGCAGAACGAGGCGAGTTGGCTCTTGCAGGGTCCATTTTGGAAAACTGTCGTAAGATGTTGTCTGAGACCGTGTCAGCACGAGGTGGCGACAGGTTGTGCCTGGCATTGGATGCCGAGCTGCGGGAAATGGGGGAGCGAATGGCAAGCCGACAGGTGTACGAGACATCAGGGAGAGCATACATGTTGTCAGGACTGAGTTCACACTCATGGCAGAGGGCGACTGCACGTGGTGATTCGACTGAGGGTTCGGGCCTGGTTCATGCTTACCAGACGCCGTCTATGGTAGATATGGTTAATTTGTCTCAGACTATGGTGTTGGGAAGTCCGAATCAAGGGGCGATTAGGCCAACAAGACCACAGCGGAGGTGATTATCATTATATTATTATGTCCTGATTGGTTAAATAATATATTGTTCATTTCTCATGTTGTGATTATTTTTTCTTGGGAAGTTTTGGGGATAGAATTGTGATGAAAATACGTAAAGGGGTGATTGTGAGGGTGATGTTATGGATTCAGGGGTATATATACATTCGATTCAAATGTACACATGGAGGAAAGTAGGGGAAATTGATTGGTGTAATTTTGGGTGAATGTTGTGGGATATGAGGAATGAGTCATTATTTTCTTTGTCGATATTTTTCTTTGTACGTATTATTTTTTGTTTATTTTGTGTATGTTAAATGAAATTTTTATTCAAATTATTATGGATTTGCCATATGAATTTATCATATTTAGAGTCTTTGGGTTCAACCACAAAAAATTATATGTCACCTAAAAAATAAATTTAGTCTAAAAAAATATATATTCCAATACAAATAAAAGTAGATTGGGTTATGTTGATGTGACAGCTAGAAAAAAAGACTCAGTTTATCTTTAAGTTTATTTTAGACTCAAGTAGAGACTTAGTCTCTATGCATTTAAGTGAATTTTATTAATTCTACATAGTTTTATACATGTCATTCAACACTTGGGTTCATTTACATGCCACATTGGCAAGATTAGACCCAATACATTGTAGATGCTCTTAATGTCAGCGAGTTTAATTTGTGTTTGGTTTTGAATGATATTAGCATCCCATACTGTGTATGTACACATGTAAATTTTTTATATATATTATATGATGTAGAGCGTGGTAGACGATTGTAAAGTATAAAACTCACAAGGTTTTATTAAAACTCAATAATAGCTGATCAGCTTTGTGCAGGAAATAATATATACAACTCTTTTAATCCTACTTATCTTACCAAATAAGCTAAGCCAAATATTTAATTTCTTACCAACCCTGATAATATAATTAAGGTAATAAAATGCGGAGTCGATCATATTTATTCAGAAATGCGACCACACTCTCGTCTCCATCATTCCCTGATTGAGAAGGGTTCAACCGCGAATCCGAACTAGTCTCGCCTCCATCGAAGTTGTCAACAATGAATAACACCAAATGCTTGACGTTGAAGACGTCAGAAGTGCGAACGTGCGGCAGAAGGCGGAGACGATAAGCATTCGGGTTAATCTTCTCAACCACCTCGACAGGACCAATCTTCCGGGCATACAACTTGTTATATTCATGGGCCGAAAGCATGTTCTTCGTCAAAACCACCAAAGCAAAGTCGTCTACCTTGAACTCCACGTGCCTTTGACGAGCTTCCGCTTGACGCTTATAAGACGTTGTCGTCGCCTCCAAACGAGCACGAGCCACAACATGGGTCGACTGCAAATCCGCAATAAGGTCCGCAGCCCTTCGGTCGACGCCCGCGGAGGTTGGCAAAACAATCAAGTCCGAAGGACCATGCAATTCCACAGCATAGACCATCTCGAAAGGTGAAAAACTCGTAGGCCAACTCACACTGAGTTATGTGTGAACTCGACCCACCAGACAACAAAGTAGATTCTCCAACGAGCGACTGACACTTCCATTTGGTCGTCCGTCTGTAGATGGTATGCATTGTTGAAATCCAGACGGATATTGGTCATACACCACAAGGTCGACCAAAAGTAACTGAGAAGCCGAGTATTGCGGTCTGAAACGATAGTGGAAGGGAGGCCATGTAAGCGGGTAGATCTCCCGGAAGAACAACTGAGCCACGTGAACGGGAGTGGTACGCTTGCACATGATAAAGTGCACCATCTTCGAGAATCGATCCACGACCACAAAGATGGAATCAAACCCCCTGCAAAGTGCGCGGAAATCCCAACACTTAATCCATGCTAATCGCGCTCCAAGGTTGTGATGGAATAGAAAGAGCGCGATAGATGAATGCATTGGAAGCGACTCCTTTTGACACATGGCAGATCCGACATCGCTCCAAAAATCCCGCCACAACACACCGCAGATACAACCAAAATATGATCGACGAACCAAGTCAACCGACCGATCATGACCCACGTGACCGACGCCATGGGGATCGACAATCAACTTATGCCAAAGACTGTACTCCGGCACGTAGAGGCGCACACCAAAAAAACGATATCCATCGGTCAAGGCGTAGTCCTCAAAAGGATCATTCGCCACGTGGCGCACAATCTGCCCGATGAAAGGGTCGTCTGGATAAACCTCGCGCCGAACCTCAAAACCCACCACAGAAACGCTCATATCAATTAAAATGAGCGCCCGACAACTAAAGGCGTCTGCCACTTTAATCGAAGCACCGGATCGATGCCTTAAGACAAAAGTGAATTACTGCAGGAAGTTCGTCCAGGGCGCATGTCGCGTCGAAATATTATCCTGGGATGCCAGGTGACGCAAGGTCTCGTGGTCTGTGTACAAAATAATCTTCCGGTGAAAAGGTAATGATGCCAATGACAAACCGCACGAACCATAGAGACGTCATACGTACTGTAACGTGCCAGAGGACCAGATAATTTCTCGCTAAGCAATGAGACCGAACGACCGCCTTGGCTCATAATGGCTTCAATCCCAACCTTCAAGGCATCACATGAGAGATCGAATGGTCGCGAGAAATCGGGAAAAGCCAGCACGACTCCAATCCCAACATCATATGCAATTTCCAACTCATCAAAAATAGAATAAAACACGTAAATTTTGTTATTTTCATGGCCAAACCCACACAAATTTTGTGGTAAAGTCACATAAGCCACACGAATCATGTAAATAAGTTGAGAGTTTTTTAATCTCCATTAGGCTTGACACGACTCGTGTTGGATATGACACGAATCGTGTGACGCGTAAGCGGCCAAAATAGCCCGGACCTTCATTCTCAACGCGAATTAATGATCTTGTATATTTTTTGTCATCCCATACGGTCCTCCGGTGGTCATACCATGTCAAGTCGGCAGGCATGGCAAGTTCAGACCATTTTCTAGCAATAGTTTTTCTCTGGTGTTAACTCATTTTTCAGACAACTTTTCCGGAGGAATTCAGGGGGCGGAGATTATCGAGGTGATCACATCTACTGTGAAAGAATTGGCGAGGTGACGTGGTGGTTGTGAAGCTCCATGGCATAAAAATGGCCGTCAGGACGTCTCCCATGAGTGATATAAGGAGAACAAGATGAACTCTTGTTCACTTGAGTCTTGAAATGAACAGTTTACCCTTCACATAATTCTTATTGGGTTGGGCTTTTCTTTTGATTTTAATAGCTAGAAGATGCTGATTACAAAACTCACCATTAGATTTTAAAGGCCCGAACTTCCCATCCTTGTACATGTAATTGGGCTAGTCCCAAAGCATGACTTTTTTTTTCGTCCGTTTGTCGTTGTTTTCGCCTTAAAAAATTATTCCGACCTATTTCCTATCTAAATTTAAAACAAACCACTTTTTCCAGAGCTTAATAAAATTAATTAAATATATAACTGATTATAGATCAAACTACAACGAAACAAACACAATAGTAACTATAAAATGCACGTGAAAATAACGTATGTCACAAACATCAGACTGAGTTATCACATTGTGATCATATTTAAATCAATATCTAGAGTTGAGAGCATCATAAAATAATGTGTTGTAAACAAAAATATTGTAAACAAAATTAATAGTGTTAAAATTTTAAAATAATATTATAAATTCACTTAGTTTTATATTATAAACTTTTATATATTTATTTTCACCAAATTCACAATAAAATATATATATAAACACTTTTCCTCTTTCATTTATTGTTGTAAATTTGATTATTTTACAAACACTCGTGTAGCACAGGAGTTATTATTCTGGTGATTAATTAGCGATCAATTATATGTCACTCCCTCTTTATATATTTGTTCAAAACGTGTTGAGGCTAAACTACAGTCTTACACGCATCGTAAACAACTAAGCTTGACAATTGCCATAAAATTATTATATCTTTTCTTCTATTATATTACCATATATTGCCTTTTATTTTCTTAAATACCATATATTACTATTTATTTTCTTATGTAATCCATATATTAATTAGTATAAATACGCATTCTTCTTAGATTTGATAATTTAAAATTAAAACTATTTGTATTTTATTATTTATATATGATATAGCTTATTAATTTTTTTCTGAAACGATAGAGATACTATATATAACCGAATAAATGTACAAAAAGTAGCCACCAACTGAATACAAACAGCCAACAGTTGAATATAAACAACCAATAGCCGAATAAAGTGGGAGGACAATCAAAAGACTGCCTAGAGCCGACCCCAACGGGGTAATACTCACGGACACACAAAACACTAACACACAAATCAAACTACGAAACTTGAAAAAATCCCAACAGAGTAATAGTCGGGTGTCGAATCCCAACAGGATAATAAGATGACACATGATACAGAGACCAAAGGCCCAGACCAAAAACACAAGACAAACAGACAGAACAAACGAAACCTGAACATAGACCAACAGAAACAAGAAAAAAACCTAGCAAACACAAAATTTGATGCCCTACCTCAGTAGAACATCCAAATTGAACGGCAGACAAAGGCCAACTCCAAGGAGAGAACTGAAGCACATGAGCCATGCCCGCCACTTCCTATTGCCTAGCAAAGACGAAGACCCGAACCTCGAACCAATCTAATGAAATCGACCCGCTCTTTGACTAAAATAAGCCACAAACGTCCTCCAACTGGCACACACACTAGCCAAGTCCAACACCATCCCAAAGTCAACTTACACCACTAGCCAAAGTCAGGAACAACTGGCCTCCCTCGGACTCCGAATCCGAGAACAAGGAAGGAAGAGGAACGAATGGCGACAAAGCCCCAACGAACCAACAAAGCCAGATGAGCGAGAAGCTCTCCACCCAGCCCTAGAAACAAAACCCTTACCGTCCCCCAGCGATGCCAATATTCCAGTTATTGAAAATCAGAAACGAACCCCAGCAGCAAGAGAACGAAAGCAGAGCTTACCTTAGGACCCCAGTGAGAAAAATCTGCCCCATCCCAGAGTGAAAAAATCGGTCCGGGACACAACCATCTCCAGACCTAGCAAACCTCCTTCCACACTACACCGCGACGCCGTCGGCTTTTTCACAGGTCCGACCACAAGCTCGATCTGGCTACCACCATCAGAACCCCTGTGCAATTGACAAAGAAAGGGAGCCCCGCGGCTAGAGCATGGTTGAGCAGTGCAGAGCTGTCCTCCGACGACCGGATGGCTGTAGAAGGAGGCGACTGAAATTGACGAGGGATCACGGTTGGGGATTTTTTCGGGAGATGGAGGCGACTAAAAAATTCGAGCAGGGTAAGTTGGTAGTAATTAGCTTATTAATTATTTTTTAACATTTGACATTCATATTATATATATATATATATATATATATATATATATATTTTTTTTAAATAAACATCCCAGATTGGGATGGGGGGTTGAGGCTACACCCCCGACCTGTGAATATAAGGCCCAGCTAGGGCTAAGAAAGTCAATGGTCTACATCCGAGTCAGAAACACATGGAGCAACAACAAAAGCAGAGAAAAAGGAAAATAAAAAGAAAAATAAAAACTAAAAAATAAAACAAGAAATAAAACTACAAAGGTCACACAAAAAAAAACTGCGATGTGAGTCTAAAATCGAGTCCTCATAAGAGGTCGGCCGAATCTAGTCAGGGGCAGGAGGTGGCGGTCGACCGAATCTGAAAGATGGGTACTCTAACTGGTCCATCCGAATGAGCGTCCGAAGCCGGAGGGGAATGTCCTCAGGAAGGAGGGTGCGTCTCTGGGGTATAGATGCCCCCGTGCTAGCGAGGAAATCGGCAGGCCGGTTCCCCTCCCGGAAAATATGAGAGATCTGGTAATGGATCGAGCGAAGAGTGTCTCTGATACGCATAAGAGGATGCTGGATCTGCCATGAGCCCTGGTGGCCAGATGTCAAAAGTGTGATGACAGCCGC